GCCTTTGAGGCATGGAATAGAGAGGAAAGGACGGTAGCTGTACTGGGGCATAGGAGGTGGTTTGAGAAGGCGGGAAGGGATATCGTTAGGATAGACAGACTAGGGAAGACAGTTTCGACCCACCTTTGGCAAAGTAGGAAGGAACGATTGGCCATCGGTGATCGGTCCTGTGGGAACAATGCTCCGTCCTCTCGAGGACGCGTGGTCAATCGTCTAACCGCCAAGGCATGCGAAACCTAAGAGTACGCCCCCCCCCCCCGCCTTGCCCACTGCATCCCACCCGCTACTCTTTCTATCTGTTTTTTGTCGAGCAGGTTGTGCTCCCGGCGCTTAGCGGGAACCGCAGCCTCCAACGCCTCGTCAGCGAGTACTACGATAACCTCGAGTACGTATCCAAGTCCAGGCGACAGCAGTTGCCACCGCCGGCACCGCCGTCACCACTCGAACAGCGGACCCCGCGAGGTCCCGCCGCAGCCATTCCGCACATCGCCGAAGGTTCTTCCGTGGGTTCTGTAGTCGGAGACGATGCCGCTTCTTCTGCCGCTAGCGGCACTAGGGGCTCTGGTTCGACCCCTGCCTCTGGTGCTCTTGCCAACGGTGGCGGCGGCTTGTCTACCGCAGGGGAGGGTGGTGCCCACTCCGAGGACCGAGCCGCTGCCGGGATAAGAACGAGCGACCTGAACGGCAAAATGAGCGTCGCGAATGGCGGCGGTGGTTCCGCTGCCGGCAGCGGTGACAACGGAGCGCGAAGATCTAGCGATGCTGCGACAAAGGCGGTTGCCGTCGCAAATACTAGAGGAGCGGCGGCGACGGGGAGTACCACGGACGGGGGAAGGGGGTCGTGTTCGGGGGGTAGACCGACAGCGACGTAGGCAGGACGAACTAGATGACGTCTAGGAGCGGCTTTTCGTGGGAGGAAGGGGAGAATGGCAATGTTCGGAATATGATAGGCAAATTGGGGCATTGTTCGACTTTTCTTGTTGGATGCCCTCTGCGTTCGTGAGCCGCCGTTGTGCTTGGTACCCCCCCCCCCCCCCCCCNCCCCCCCCCCCCCTCCCCCCTTCCCTGCGTTCCTTGTGATGGGGAGGGGGGGGTGCTCATAGTCGTGCATGCCGTAGTCGTTAGACCATTGATGGGATGTGCAAAAGTGTGCGTGTATGAAGTTTTGGTTTGGGCCGACAATACGGGGAACATATGATGGCTAATAGCGGTTTTGCGGCTGGGCTGAAGCTGCAATTGGTTTCCGTTTTCATCGCCCAGTGTGTCTTTCGAAGCAGAAATCGCCACATGAGGCATTGGTCAAAGAGTGTAAATGTACGACGTTGTTGATTGATATGATTTCAAACACTCTTGTTTACGGCATTAAAGGAACGTCATTCTGGCGCCCTTGTTGCAAGAAACGTGCGCTTCTTTGTCATACGTCGCACAGTTGCGCAACGGCGGCTATGTACACCCAAGGCGTGTGTTGCGTACAATTACTTTTATGTTTCATAGAGTTTCCCTTCAAAGCGCTAGACTACTTGGCGAAAGAAGGAACGCACGTGATTCGGTGTTCGTTCGTGCTGAAAATTTTGGATAGGGGGCCATGGCGCTTAGGCTGGAGGCTCCTTGCTATGACAGGATGTAGAAACTCTCTCGTGGAAGATATTAAATGGTTGGTTGTGGGTGGTTGGGTAGGCCTGAAACAGAATGAATATATCGATGTATGTAGACGGAACCATTTTACACAGGGCACGTACGGTAGGCCGGCAATCACATAGATGTATAATTTACTTAATCAATTTTTCTACCTGCTATGCATATGCATACAAGGAAAAAACCGCGGCAAACCTCTCCCAAAGACCGCCAGGGTTCGACGTTTACTCGAACATGTACCCGCGTCTTTTCGTACCGCGACGCCGACCGCTTGATTCCCTAGTATTCGGCCCTCACGTAAACTACTATGCATCGTAAGCGACGATGTCTGGTCGATCGGCCAAATGCCGAAACCTCCCCACTGACACAATAATAGCGAAAGTACGACAGCGGCGGCTGCCGGTGCCATAGCTGCATAGCTGCACGCACGGAAACTGGGGGTTCAGGGAAGCAGGGTGGTGGGGGCTGCTCCGGGGGGTGATCCCCGGGTGATCCCTTGGGGGCTCCGCGGTTGGTGCTATCATAGAGGCCTAGGAACAGCCGTATGGCAGGGAGAAAAAGTGTAGAGAGTTTCACAGACGCTCGTGCGCAGAAACTACCATGACTTCCTCCTGCTGCAAGCTCAGCTACATGAAGACCAGTCTGTCTTGTCGACTTTGGCAAAGCCCCATAACCCTCCTAGTACTGGAAGCCTTTTGGGGGACGATTTGGGGTCACTTTGGGAAGCAGCACTCAAAAGGCCTATTTACCGCACTGAAGTCAACCTAGGCTCCGCTGTATGCAACGTACGTGAGAACCCTTGTTCTATCATGCTTGACTGAGGTGGTACGCTGTGTGATATGCTGTATGATGCCTCTCCTGGCCCTCTGGCTTGCAGTAAACCATCTCCCAACCCGCGTGCCCCCTAGGTCGTAAAACTGTACATCGCCTGACCCTTTGGAGGGACGGTAGCCCTTCGACCAATGGCTGACAAACAATTTTTCGGCATTTTTTTTTGCCAACGGACTGGGTGCTAGGAGGGTTAAAACAAAACCACCAACTTTGAGGGAAGTCTCTTCAACAGCAGATTCTGCCTAGGGGTAGACCGAGACTCGAACCTACAGCAGTTCAAGGACATCAATAACGACGCCTTCCATTAATAAACTATTTGCGAAGGTCGGGATCGACCTCGGACATGAAACCCGGGGGAGGCATTTCTTGGCGCTCTTCCGAGATGCCCAACACCTTGTAACGCACGCCCATCTGCGCGGGGTCCACCAGCCGCACGTAGCCTTCTAGCATCGCGTCTGCCTGTGACGGAGAGGGCACGGAGGTAGAGCGATGGGGGCAAGGCCCGCAGGGAGACAGACGGTGCGGGAGGGTGGTGTTGCGAGCAAAGAAGTAGGGCAAGAGACAGAGAGAAAGAAAGTAAGACAGAGAGAGACAGAGAGAGCGCACACCCGCCGGCTGAAAAACAACCCAAGACTTAAACCCCCCAAGCAACTCGGAACACTCGTCTCTGATTGGCCGACCACATCGAACAAGTTCCAGTCACCCATGCCAATACCGAACAAAAATCCCCTGACCCGTACACTCACGGATTCGGCACTATTGGTCGCAGCATAGTCGGCAAATTCCGGTGCCACGACCGCACTCCATCGGCCCCCCGCACTTGTAGGGAGTGCACCATATCGGGACCCCCAAAAGTTCTGTAAGCCTCACCTGCTCCTCGGTTACGTGGGGCTGCTCGGCCAACGCGGTGAGCCTGGCCCCAATGCCCATCTCCCTCAAGAACTGCCCCTGGCCCACGGGGCCGTGCGGCCGGGCCCCCTCCACCCCGGCGACGACGCGTCTCAGCAGGCCGAAGTTGACGTCTGCAGTCATGTCTGCTTCTCCCGGGTCCGACAGGACGGGCACCTTATTACAGAGGTTTGTTC